CCTGGGCTACCTGATATTCTGTCCCAAAACAAATAAAACCAACAAAAAACAAAACCAAATTTTTGTTTGCCCTCAAACCTTTCCTTTTTTCCTGTGACTCCAATTTGTATTTGATCGTTACACTGTCTGTAAGCCATCCCAATACATTCTCTTTTTGTGGATTGAACCCAAGGCCACGTGCAAGGTAGATGAGAGCAGAGCAAGTCCCCCAGCTCACAGTGTGTTTCTAAATGGCATCTCTTCTCTCTTCATCTTGTTGTGGATGAAATTGAAAAGGCTACAAGAGATCTGATTCCCCTATCCAAAAAGAAAAGGCTACATTGTTCCTAAAATGCCCTCAAATTCGCCACCCTGGAGAGAACAAGTTCTGCTTTTCTTCCTCTCCCCTGACATTGCTTGTATTTTCCTTTACTAATCACCACCAGCCATGTCCACTGTTATCTATTATCTGTCTGTAAGAGAATGGTTATCAGCAGAGGAAAGAACTTTGGATTCAGGAATCAAGTTTCTTGGACCATCTCACCCATCTTAATATATGTAATAATATAATAATATATGTAATATATGTGACAAGTTCTGTTTATTTTACAGTGGCTGAGAAATATTATTGAGGAATCGCTTGTGAAAATATTTAAGCTATAAAATGTAGAAGGATGATGACATCCCCACAGCTTGTGTACTGAGGACAGGCTCCGTGTTTTAGACATTTTAATACTTTTTCATAGCACCCAATTCATAACTGATATGAATAAGTTTTAGTATCTGTAAAGATTGTAGGGTTAAACACAACAGACATGGATGGACACGATGACTCGGGGTACAAGTGCTTGTTGCCAAATCTGAGTTCAGTTCCTAGACCCACATGGTCAACAGAGAGAACCAATTCCTGCAAGTTGTCCTCTGACTTCCACACACATGCCATGGCACGCATGTACCCCTATATATACAATATATACATACACAATAAATGTAATAAAAATTGAGAAAAGCCAATATACACTTGCAGATGTATGTCCAATACAAGATCATTCCTGTGTTAAAAGTCCGGGACAAGTCAGGCATGGTGGCTCACGCCTTTAATCCCAGTCCTGGGGAGGCAGAGGCAGGCAGATCCCTGAGTTCAGGGCCAGCCTGGTCTCCATAGTGAATCCAGGCCAGTTGTGACTACAGGAAGACCCTGTCTCAAAAAGACTTAAAAGGTCTGGGACAAAAAGGCAGCTGAAGTAAAAACACCAGTTTTCCTTATCTTGGTCTAATCTTTTGCTAGCCTTAGTTAATGGGCAATATCCTTTTCAAATTGCTACAGGGATCCACTGAGTCCCCAACATCATAAGCCTGTAGTGTTTAGGCTTCTGATATGGTCAGGTGATTCCACATACTGCTGATCCAGCTCCTGCAGGAGTCGTCAGGCCCAGGCTGAAGAACTACCCTCACCTGTTACTGAGTTATGTAATTACAGACTTTATCAAATATGTTGTGGCTTGTAGATGGGAGACACATGACAACAAAGTCTCTTTCAGCATGGGATAAATGCCTCAGGACCTTTCCCTGGTGACAGGTAGGGAAGCAAGAGAGAATTTAACATCAAAACTCCAAAAGTGTTGGAGTACATAGCTCACTCTGGGAACATTTGGGAAATGCTCCAGGCACCTTAAAAAATCTGGAATTCCTAGAAGATCTTGTACCTGGGGTGACTGTAATAGAGTAGAAAGGTATCCTGAACTTGGAAGAGCTGTTTTTTGTGTGTGCAGTTAAATCACAAATATTTGGCTTGTCTTTTGATAGAGACTGTTAATAATTTGATTGTTTTGCTTTATTTTATTTTATTTTTTTGGTCTTTTTGAGACAGGGTCTCCCTGTAGCTCCAGCTGTCCTGGAACTCACTATGTAGACCAGGCTGGCCTTGAACTCACAGATACCTGCCTGCCTTTGCCTTCCGAGTACTGGGATTAAAGGCATGCGCCACCACGCCTGGGTATTTTGTTTTTTGAGACAGGGTCCCACTATGTAGTCTTGGTTGGCCTGGAATTCCCTATGTAGCCCATGCTGGCCTCAGTCTTACAGAGATCCACCTGCCTCTGCTTCCCAAGTTCTGGGATTACAGGCATATGCCACCATGCTGGGCTCTGTTGGTAAATTTAGAGATTTAACACTTGGAATAAACAGTTTCAATATTTCTTGGTAAAATATAATGTACTGTGAGCCACACTTCTGTATGACATATTCCAGTGACCTAGATGTTCAGAAAGGAAAACCTATTTGGGTGGATAACTTGAATAAAAGGAAAATGACTAGGCAAGTACTGGAAAGTGCTCACATTCTTAAGTTTTTGAAAACCCTGTTGGAACTTGGGTGTTCCCACTACTGTCAGCATCTAGGTGCCTCAGCTAAAATAGGTAGTATACAGAAGTCATGGGATGCTTTATTAAAGTATTTGAATATACCGTTTTCTTTTGGGCTTTTTGAGATACAGTCTTGTTATGTAGCCCTGGAATTCACTATGTAGAGCAGGCTATCCTGGAACTTAATGACAGTCTTCATGCCTCAACCTCCCTAAGGGTGCTGGGATAGAGGTATACACCATGTCCAGCTGTGTGGTATTCTCTCGTTCCATTATGTCTTGAGTTCTAACCTCTTCCAGCTTCACTGATACTTGACTGTGGTCATTAAAAATGACCAGTTGTGTGTAGAATTTGCTGTTTCAATGTCGTGATTTTAGGCTGTGTGTTCCTGTTCCAGAAACCTTTGTTTGCTCAAAGAGAAGGAGGAAAATGTGGATTGCCCTATTTTAGTGTAGGATTAAAATACATGTGAAAGACCTCATGGGGCCCAACTGCTGGCTGGGTTTTCAATCCAAATAGAGGAGAAGAATGTTTGCTATCTCTTTGAAAAAATAAAGGCTGTCTGCTCTGTTGCTACATGAAGGAAGCAGCTGCTGGAAGTTTATATGTGAGAAACAGGGTAACAAACTAGCTGTTGGTTCTTCTTTGTGTGTGTGTGTGTGTGTGTGTGTGTGTGTATACGTACATGCATGTGAGCACATATGCCAGAGTACTTTGTGAAGTCCGAGGACAGCTTGGGTGTTGAGATGGCTTACAGGGCCTGAGAGCTGGGTAGAGATAAGAGACCGAGGGCTGCTCCCAGTGCTAGTGTGTGCTGCAGAGGTCATTCTCACAGTGGCACTGGGTGAGCCGGTGCAGTAGCATTGCTTCTTTTCTGAACTAGAGTAAGTGGCATCGTAATTCAAAAGTGATCTTGAACATAGTGGTATGTGAAACTGAACTGGACCCACAAATAGCTGGGTGACCACTGAGGATGTGTTGGATAGCTTCAGTTGTCAATTTGATGCATCTGAATAGAGTGAACCTCAACTGAGGAATTTCCCCCATTAGTTTGCCCTATGTTGAGTAATGTAGAGGACCCAGCCCACTGTGGGTGGTGCGACTCCTGGGCAGGTGGTCCTGGATTGTATAAGAAAGTAGGCTGAGCACCAGCCAGAGAAGCAAGCCTAGTAGTGTACCTCTGTGGTCTGTGCTTCATCTCCTGACTCCAGGTTCCTGCCCTGAGTTTTTGCTCTGACTTCCCTTGTGATGACTGACCTGAGAGATGCAAGATAAACTAAAACCTTTCCTTCCCAAACTGGTTTTGGTCACAGTGTTTATAATTGTAATAGAAAGTGACTAGGATAGAAATCAAGCATAGTGTCTCAAAGCTCTGGATTTCATCCCCTTGTCCTTCCTGTTGTGTGGCACTCAACTGTTGATTTCAAATGAAAATTGAGGGCCTCCCCCCACCACTGGCTGTATGGCATAATATGGGCACAAAGGAAAACCTCATTTCACCCCCTCCTGGGATCTAAAGGTGGTGAATGTAGGACTGCAGGGAGTGTGGACCTGTTCTGAAGGAGAGGCTGAGTGAGTTGACAGTGAGAAACCAGAGATGCTCAGCTCTCAGTGGAATTCTGGCATTGGGCTGTCTGGTTTTAGAGAGGCCCTTTCCCTTGCCTCTTTTTTTTTTAGGAATGCTCCTGATGATGTGTGTCTCACCATCTAATAAACGATGCTCTTCTCTGCATCTTTGTTTTTTTGTAAATGTTTCTTTCTTTTCTATATTAATCGTCACTAACCAGCATGCCCAGGGGCCTGTAGTGACTGCACTGTTCCTTCTCTTGCTTTGGGTTTGGACTGCTCCTGAGTTTCTTGCACTTTTCAATTCACAAAATCCATGCTGTTTTATTTAATCTGGTGTCTCTGTGTGGCTTTCAATGGTCTGACTAAAATTGCTTTCACAGTTGTGGCTATGTTCCATATGAAGATTTATGCTTCAGGTTTCCTTTGAAATATAAACATTAGAGGAGAATTAGCAGGAGGATAGAGGACTCTGTTAACACTGCTTTTACCTTGCTCAGAGGATGAAGATGCAGATTTTAAAAATTTTATTTATTTTATTTTATGTGTATGAGCATATTGCCTGCATTTGTGTAGGTTCCCCCTGTGTCATGCAGTGCCCATGGCAGTCAGAAGAGGGTGTCAGCTCCCCTGGAACTAGAGTTAAGGACAGTCATTAGTTGCCATGTGGGTGCTGGGAATTGAACCTGGGTCCTCTGCAAGAGCAGCCAGTGCTCTTAACCACTAAACTCTCTCCAGCCCCCAAAGATGTGGATTTTGATTAATTGTGTAGCTGGACTGAAATCTCTCTCATTGAACACCCATAATCTGAATTCCTGTGTGCTTTTCTTGGGATTATGTCATCTCTCTCAGTAATTATTGCTGGTTTTCTTACTGTACTCAGAAAGAAAACTTTCATAGAGTTTCTCTGGGCCTTCCTTTAAAGGATACTGTGCTCCATCTGATCCATCTGAAGACAAAAGACTGGATATAGAAATTTGGTCCCTGGTCACAGTTGCTGAATATCTAGAATATTTAAGTTTTGAAAAAATATGGGCCATGGTTAAGTTGCATCAAGATTATACTGCAATTACTTGTTTACTTTTTCCCTAGGTGCATGCTATTATGATGCAAATCAGTCTATGTATGTGTTTGGAGGCTGCACCCAGAGCAGCTGTAATGCTGCCTTCAATGATCTCTGGAGACTCGACCTGAATAGCAAAGAGTGGATTCGACCTTTGGCTTCAGGTAGGGAAGAAATTTCTGACTTCTTACCAGAGAACTCCTCGGCATGTAAACTTTGCCTGATCCTTTTTGGTGTTGGTCTCAAGCATAGGTTACTGGTGCCCCTGATCTCAGATCTGTAACTGCTTAGAGTAATATGTGTACCTAAGTCTTTGCATTAAAAACACTGCATTGTACTATTAGTATTGGTACTCATCCAAAGTCACTGTGCCACTGTGTGAATTCATTTGTGTGGTTTTCTCAAGTACTTACACAGGTGTGATAGGCTGTTTGGAATGAAGCTGAAGAGCAGAAAGTCATGAGAACTGTTGTCGACTGACAGAAGCTATTGTCCCAGGGCTGAGGTTTCTGAATAACTTTTGTTCTTGCCAACTCAGATATATGGGGAGTGTATGGACATGCCTCTGCTAGTTACTCTTGACAGCTCAGGAGTGTGGGAAGATTCCATAGTAGGTAGATCCCTGCACAGTCCCACTATGCCAGGAATCTGGCAGAAAATGAACTAGATTCTTTCTTCCTTTTGATTTAGTCTTTCTTTAAAAAAAACAGTTGTTTTTGCACTAATGAGACAGGACAATTTGAAGCATCAGTCAGAAGATTGGATGTTTGGCTAGATTCACTGTCAGGCTTTTCCCCAAATGCTCTTCATTGGCTTTTGAAGGTTGGAACTCAGTATCAAGAGCAAGGAGACTTGGGTTTTCCTTGAGCACATCCCTGTTCATTTGGTCCTGCCTTATTAGTTGGGTTTCTAGGTTGGAGTTAGCATAGCCCCCCCCTTTTTTTTTTTTTGAGACAGGGTCTCCCTGTAGCCCCAGCTGGCCTAGAACTCACTTTGTAGACCAACCAGGCTGGCCTGGAACTCACAGAGATTTGCCTGCCACTGCCTCTTGACTACTGGGATTAAAGGCAGGCACCACCAAGCCCGGCCTCAGCATGGCTTTCTAGAGAGACAGAAGCTTCATTTCCTGGCACAGTCATCAGTTCTCAGTGTGTGAGCAAGTTGCTGTATGGAGTAGGACTAGGTGACTCTGTCTTTTAAAGGCTGGGAAAGCTAGTTTATGTAATCCCTGCTGGGAAGCTATGACCAAAAGCTTAAACCTGGTTCTGAGAAGATGCTACATTTTGCCTCCCCAAAGCTTTCTGCTACCCTACAGTAAGCAGACAAAGGGGGACTGTATAGATAGGGTACTCATGGGCAGAGCTGGGTTTTGTGCAAAATTTCTGTATTAAAATTGTTGGAGCCACACCTTTTATCCCAATGCAGAGGTAGGTGGATCTCTCTGAATTTGAGGTCATCCTAGCCTACGTAGTGTGTTCCAGGGCATCTGGGGCTACAGGGAGACCCTGATTCTAAATAAACAAATAATTTAAAATTATTGGAAGTATGCATAAATGGTAATCTTACATGTTAATACTGTTTTAGGGCTCTCAGAGTATTATACTTTGGGAACTGGAGAGATGATTCAGTGGTTAAGAGCACTGGCTGCTCTTGCAGAGGATTTGGGTTCAGTTCCCAGCACCCACATGGCGACTAACTCCAGTTCTGGGGGACCAAACGCCCTCTTCTGACCTCTGTGGGCATTGCGCAACACAGGTGCACTTACACAGTCAGGCAAAACAAATAAATCCAGGGCCTAGAGAGATGACTCGGTTAAGGGAAGTGGTTGCTCTTGTAGAGGACCTGGGTTTGATTCCTAGCACCTACATGGCAGCTAACAACCATCCTTGACTTTAGTTTTAGGGGATCCGATGCCTCTGACCTCTGCAGGCATTGCACAGCATGGGTGCACTTACACACATGCAGGCAATACATGCATATACATAAAGTAAAAATTGTAAAATATTTAAAATAAATAAATTCATAAAAAGAATATACTTTGGAGGGTCTCCTTTTCTGGCCATTTGCCCTCTTACATTTAGTGCGGTATTGATCAGTATTTAGTAACAAATTTTAAAATGGTAGAGCATCTTTTGAGCTTAAGTATCCTGTGGCCTTTGAGCCTGGTATGGTATCCGGACTCCATTTCAGAGCAGCTTTGATTGTTCCAGTCATGAAATGCTAGTCCTGCCCCTCTGTAATGAAACCTTAGACCTTTGACAGTTTGCACAGTTATTTCTCCTCTTTGTACACATGAGCTCTGGCAGCCTGCTGCCAACTACCTCTGTTATTTTTCCCTCTAAAATAGACAAGAAACTTTTACTTTTAAACCACAGAAGGTTTTTGTTCTTAAGATTTCTTAAAAATTATGTGTATATGAGGCAGGGGGTATGTGCATATGAGTGCAGGTGCCTGTGGAGCTCAGAAGAGTGTCAGATCTACTGGAGGTGGATTTATAGGCAGTTGTAAGCTGCCCAACTTGAGTGCTGGGAACTGAACCTGGGTCCTCTGCAAGAGCAGTAGGTGCTCTTAACTGCTGAGCCCCTTAACCCACTAAGTTTAAAAGATTATGCTTTGAAATTCCCATAAACTTATTGAAGTAACTGATTTGGTAATTCAGAGTCTATGTAAATAAAGAGACATTCAGAATGTTCTCTTTTGATTCAGACAGGATCTCATGTGGCTCAGACTGGTCTTGACATTGCTATGTAGCTAATTGCTGACCTTGAATTCCTGATGGTCCAGACTCTGTCTTCCAAGTGCTGGGATTTCAGGCCTGCACCACCATGCCTGGCTTGAATGTTTCATTTTTTAAAAGCAAATAAGCTACTAAATGTTGTCATTTTCTAGCAAAATGTCTTAAAACTATCTAGTTGTTGCCTTACCCTAGTCTATAATTAGAGCCTAGATTTAGAGAATGGGGGTTGAGGGGGAGCTGAGGCTTTTTAAATGCCTATTAAAAAAAATAACAGTGGTTTAATAAAGAATCCCGCTCTCTTAGGCAGAAATCCCTCGGGAAGATTCCTGAAAGAATGCTGTGTGTGCTATCATGAGCCCCAACCAAAACCATTTTCTAACTGAAACACTGATGTCTTTCTGAAAGAAGCACAGGTTGTTTGTATGTCTTGCTGGGTCTGGCTGCTCTGTTTTAGTGCATGGAGGAGGCAGGTTGGAGTTAGGTTGCTGAAGGGAAGATGCCACACTCCCCTTCCCGTGCTGGCTGAGAGGTGGTTTGTGTCATTTCGGTGTGTCCTAGCAGTGATTGGTGCTCTAGGAGTGTTCAGCCCCCACGTAGAGCTGCTGGAGAAGAGCCACAAGCCCTGGAGCACTTCTGGTCGGGAGAGGGTCTTGGTGGAGAATGCTCTGCCAGTGTCACCTTCTATGTAGACTTGGCATGCCACACAGAGCCTGCAGCAGTCTCACTGGCGGTATCTTAGCTCAAGCTGCCATAGCAAAGTCTCAGGTCTGTTCTGGGAGCGCCTCCATCTGCAGGTAGGGCAGGGAGGAGGAATGTTGGGATGGCAGGTCCTGCAGCATGGAGACCTGCAGTTAGTACTTGTTGGACATTTCCAGAGAGAAGTACTCCTTATGGAACTTATATTGTAATAGTGAAGAAACAAAAAACAAGATAGAAATTACAAAGGAAACAGCCAGACAATGAAATATAGACCATAAGGGGACAAGCTACTTAAACAAGAGACTTCTGCTGAGTGCAGACTGAAGTAGAGGTGAGAACTGCATATGCAAAGACCTTGGGTGGCAAACACTGAGGCACATTGGAGGAGCTCAGAGCAAGGCTTGTGGATACAGCAAATGGATAAGGGAGAGTGGTGCTGCTGAGAGGCCAGACTGTTCACAAGTCCATGTGCGGTTAGAAACTTTTGAGACTTTGAAGAGAGGAGTACAAAGACCCAATTTAGGTTTCAAAGACCTCTGTTGCTGCTACTTGGAATTGCAGGAAGGCAAGGAAGTAAATCAACAGATTGGAGGCTCTGTGGAAGTCAGAACACTGAAAGGTTATGACTAGAGTCAGAGTGGTGGCAATGAAATGAAGTGAATGTATTTGACTGACTGACTGACCCACATTGCAGCTAACAATTGACTGTAACTCCAGTTCCAGTGGATCCAATAGCCTCTTCTGTCCTCAACATGGGTGCACTTACCTACATGTAGGCAATACACTCATACACATAAAATAAAAATAAATAAAATATTTTAAAAAATAAAAATAAAATAAAATAAAATTTAAAAAGTAGATGGCCAAAAGCAAATAAATGGAAAATTACAAATATGGAGCTGGACGTGGTAGTGTGCCCGTAATCTCAGCACTTGGTAGATGAGACAAGAAGATCACAAGTTTAAGTCCAACCTGGGCTAGGTAGTGAGACCTTGTCTTAAAACAAGACAAACATGTAATATAGCAATTTAGACAGAAGTTGAAGAGGAACTCCTGAGTGAATGGCTAGGGGTTATACCAGGGGAACTCTAACTTGGGGAGCAGGGGAAGGTAACATTAGAACAGAAAACTTGATGGGTTCACTGGCTGTGTCATCCCCAACCGTGCAGAGGCCCAGAGGTGGAAGTGTTTGGGATAGCCCAGAGATCCTCTGAGGACACTGTGGGACAGGAGCACAGTGAACAGAGGAGAGTGTAGAGGGCAAGCAGCTAGACAAAACGACAGGGTACGATGTGTGTAAAGCGTTCCGGCTTTTGAGAAGACTTTGTTGTGTTCTTTGTGTGAAATAGCTTGTTGGGTTTTTCAGATGAAATGGTGTAAGAGGCCGGGTGTGGTGGTGCACGCCTTTAATCCCAGCACTCAAGAGGCAGAGGCAGGCAGATCTCTGAGTTCAAGGCTAGGCTGGTCTACATAATGAGTTCCACCTGCCTCTGCCTCCTGAGTGCTAGGATTAAAGGTGTGCTGACACCTTGATTCTTTTTTTTTGAGACAGGGTCTCCCTCTAGCCCCAGCTGTCCTGGAACTCACTATGTAGACCAGACTGGCCTTGAACTCAGAGATCCACCTGCCTCTCTCTGCCTCCCAAGTGCTGGGACTACAGACGTGTGCCACCACGCCTGGTGACACCTTGATTCTTAATCAGGTGTGTTTGACTCAGCCTGTGTTTAA